AAAAGGGTTCTGCTGTAGCGACGCACGACCCGCGACAGCAGGACCCTTTGCCCCATTGCCAAGCATTGGAGGGCGATATCGCGCGGTAAATAGCCGCGATATCGCGGGAATTACTGTGCGATAAATCGCTCAGTGTGAACCTTAATAGATCGGCATCCCTAGGTCCGCCCAGCTGTCATTTGCATGGAGATCGGTCGGCTTCGGCCCACCTTTCTCCACACTTTGGCTGTCACTTCGGCTCATTTGAACCAAAGCATATGCCTTTGGCTCGGCTGAGCTGCTCAGCTGCCTTCGGCTGCTGTACGGGCTATTGTAAATAGCCCGTACAGCAGCCCTTCGGTTCAGTCAAAGAGCCGAACGATCAGCCGAAGTTATGGCTGTATCCTTCGGCTCCATAGTGAATAAACCCCTAAATTGGAGATTTCAACGAGTTGGCCATTTCGATAGAACATCAGCTCTGTTTGGATATTACACACACACATACACACTGGATTAATAGCGGTAAATAAGTATAAGGTACACAGCTGTGATGATGTTGTTGCCTTCCAGAAAAATTGGAACACATAGGGTATCTTTGCTGGATACCCTATGTGTGCAACTGTAACTATTTCCATTATTTAGTATGTCATTTGTTTGAATTTCTGGCTAAGGATCCCCAATATCCAATATTGTTATATACTATGGTTTATTTAAATAACAGTGCAAAAGCAGCAATGTGCAGTAACTCACAAGAATCAATAAATGAGCTTTACACAACCTAATGTCAAACCATTAAAGCCTACTAATGATTCTATATAAACCGTTTAGAGCTAAATATTTATCATACACTATATATTCTGTTTATCTAGAATTATCTGTCTCAAAGTGTATATTACTTAATGTCAGCCACTGCTCTATTAGGTAGAAAAGTGCAGAATTTTGAATTTATTATCCATTAAAGCCTACTAAATTTGTTAAGTTGACTTTAAAGAACATTAATGCTCTTTGCAATATGTTATTAAATAAAACAAAATGGTTTTAATATTTTGTTTACCCATGCAAAAAATGTGTGTTACTGTCTGTGCTGCTACTATTTTTTTTATGTATTACATATTTGTGGTAATTTTACTCAAAAACCATGATTAGCAGCCATAAAGACCTAATGAATATATAAAACTTACAGGTCTATCTAGAATCATGTGGCATTTGACTATAAACCTAACAAAGGAGCAGACTCCTATGATTTGACAAATACATTTTAAATAGGGATGCACCGATACTTTTCGAGTACTAAGTCCTATACTTGGCATTTTCATGAGAACTACCAGGGTTGCAGCGGTTGCAGCTGGGACCTAGCTCTGGTGCTCCACCACTGTCCTGAGATCATTAGTCGATATTGTTTTAGAAAAACTGTCACATGACAATAAACAAAAATGTATCAGTACTTGTGTCTGTAAGTACTTGGGCAAGTATCAGTACTTGTACTAGCAAAACTGGTATCGGCGCATCCCTTTATTTATATTTATAAAAACAAAATCATACATTAAAACAGATATACAAATCCCAGGAGCTCTGTGTGCTCCTTACAAATGACAGCTGCCTCCTAACTTTTGAATTTTTCTCTAGTCTAGGAGCTCTAAAAGTATCGGTACATATACTTGTACTTGTACCGAGTACTGTACTTGATATCGGGGAATCCCTAATTTTAAATGCACATTTTAATGAAACATATAGTTACAGTTTTTCAAATTGTGCACATTATGGAACTACAAATGAATAACCCCCTAAATTGTTACATAGTTACATAGTTAGTCAGGTTGAAAAAAGACACAAGTCCATCGAGTTCAACATATAGAGATACTGAGAAAAACAAACAAAAAAACAAAAAGAGAAGAAAAGCCTAAACAGAACGCTATGCCCACAGCTACCCCCTGTTGATCCAGAGGAAGGCAATAAAAAACCCCTATAAAGCATGGTTCAATTTGCTCCAACAGGGGAAAAAAATTCCTTCCTGATCCCATAAGGCAATTGGATATTCCCTGGGTCAACAATCTCTGATGCCTAATATACCTATAATAACTCAATATCCAGTAATATTCTGTGCATTTAGGAATATATCCAGATGTTTTTTGAAACAATTAACTGAGCTACCCGGAACTAGCTCCTGTGGGAGTCTATTCCACATTTTCACAGCGCTAACTGTGAAGAATCCTTTCCGTATGCAAAGGTTAAATCTCTTTTCCTCCAGACGCAAAGAGTGCCCCCTTGTCCTTTGCAGTGACCTTAACGTGAATAATTTGGCACCAAGCTCTTTATATAGACCATTTATGTATTTATACATTGTGACCATGTCCCCCCTTAATCTCTTCTTCTCCAGAGAGAACAAATTCAGGTCAGCTAATCTTTCCTTATAGCTGAGCTCCTCCATGCCTCTTATAAGTTTAGTCGCCCTTGCAGATTACAACGAGTTGGCCATTTCGATAGAACTTTGGCTCTGTGTAGCTATTACACACACACACACACACACACACACAGATACAAACACACACACACACATACTGGATTAATAGTGGAAAATAATGATAAGGTAAACTTAGCTGTGATGATTTTTTTTTGCCTTCCAGAAAAAATGTGTATAAAACAAATTAGCTCCCCATTGACATAAATGTATCACTGATTAAGCACAGTTACCTACAACATTGTTAATGATTTCCAATATGCTAAGAGTTTCTAATGAATGAATTACTATATTTTTCATGATCATGTCATGTCTGCACTTTTGTTTGCTTGGGAAGCTTTTCATAAACGTCCCTCTGTAATGGTATATTGACTTTTAAACATCTTTTCTGTCCCCTGACATATATTTAACTTTGCAATACTGACAGAAATTGTCAATGTTATTTTTGAATACAAATTGAACATTAAGCCTACTGAGTCAGACAAGATTTACTGAATATTTTTCTTCTGTTTGCTAATAACATTGAGCTCTTTTAAAATGTCAAATCTTAAAAGAAGAAAAATCGGATCATTTAGAAAGCACACTACCTGATAATAACAGAATAGAATATCGAGTATTTTTCCTCTTGTTTCACACAGTAAAGGAGATCTCTCTTATACTGATTGATTGTAGGAACAGGGACATGAGTAACTGAGGTTTATACTGTCTCATTTACATCACTGGACAAATAACTTATTGTAAGTCTCACCATCATCCCGTGAAAGGTACTACCACTGCTCCCTCTTTGCTGTTAAAAGGTGGAATAACAGCCTTGTATGCCAAGCACACCTTACTTATTGGAAACAGGACCCCCTAGTGCGGTAACTTGTTTTCCCACTTTTAACAACCCATCCTAACTAAAAGACTAGTTTAATACCTGAGTTAGAAAGGGAAAGAGCTGTTTAAATGTTTTATGAAGTATGATATGAATGGCACAAGTTATTATTATTATTTCTCAGGATTTGCTCAGCACTTACAATATAAGGAAGACATTACAGTTACAATACAGTTCAAGACAAAATGGTTAGGAGAGCCCTGACCGTGAGAGCTTTGTTCCTCCTTATTTTGCTATTTAAATTAATAGAAACCGGTAGACACTGAAAGAAAAAAAAAAACACAAGCGCCAACTTACCACCGTCCTTGCGGGAATAGAGGAGGGATTCCAGAGACACGAGGCAGCTTCTCACAGTCAGGGAAACTGGATATCTAGCACAAGGAGTGCCCCCATAGTGTAAGAGGTTCTGACGAAAGGGGTCCGGCCAGAGAAATGCATCAACCAGAGGGCTGATGTACAGTAAGATGGACCCAGCTCTCCACCTGCATATTTTAAGCCATGAATGTTCACCCATCCTCAGTTTTCTTGTGATTCTGCTACTACAGGCACTCATATATTAGTTGTTTGTGAGTACATTTTTACTGGGTTTTTATTAATAAATAAAGTTGTTTTTACACTATGGAGGCAGCGCCCCACCTGCATATTTGAAGCCATGACAGTTCGTCCATCCTCAGTTTTCTTGTGATTCTGCTACTACAGGCCATCATATATTGGTTGTTTGTGAGTACATTTTCATTGTTTTTATTTATAAATAAAGTCGTTTTTATACTATGGAGGTACTCCTTGTGCATCTCTTCTGCGAAAAACCAGTAATTCCAATTATCCTGAATAATCTGCCTACATAGACATATTTAGATAAACTTTATGATGAAAATTGGCATCATGCTCCCCCTTTCCAGATTCTACAGAGGATGGAATATAAAGCTTACCAAGATGCATGACAAGCAGGGAGAGGGTAGCCAGGAACTCAGGATCCCAGAGTTCCACCACTACAGCCCTAGCCAATTCCCTGAGAGTTAGTGCCATATGTTTTAAGAATAACGCTTGCAGAGCAAAATGTAAAAAGCTAACCACATTGATTATTGCTAAGTATTGGTACAAATGAATAACAAAATTCTATGGCATATTTTAAAGCCCAACTCCAGCCAAAACTGTGATGGGAAATCTTATCACAGACAATAATAAAAATGTGAAGATGTTCGTACTCCACCAAAAGTGAACAGATCAGGGCTGAAAACACTGCTATAAGCACCACTATATCTCCAGTTCTTGTATCAACCAACTAAGAGGAAAATACTTCATAGCCAACTTGTATATACAAAGAATACTATGGACAAATTATTTTGATATAGTCATGGTCCTGGGTGGGTTCTTTTTGCTTCCAGATTTTATCTGTGTATTTTATCTTGCTCTTTTGTTATAGTTTGTCTTTTAATGGAAACTAATAAAATGAATAATTTTATGTATTTCATTGTCACTACGCCTTTTTTATGAGTATCAATTGAAAGTCCCATAATAACATAGCCCCCGGATATTTCAGTCCAGGTGGATCTCTGCTTTCTTTAATTCATATATTTAGGGGTATGATGCTCATAATCCACACACTTGGCATCTATCCTCATAAATATAATTTTTTTGTCCAAACATACACTTTATTCCAATCATTGTGTTTTCTCAATTTTTCCCCAGTGGCAGGGCCGAGCTGCTAGCTTTGATAGCCAGGGGTCATGCCCCTCCCCGAAGCCTCCACCAACTCCTTGAAATTACCAGCTGTCTGCAAATGAAGTTTTGTAACAACTTTTCAAGTCTTGTTCAAGAACCTGGCTGAAGAGCTCTCAACTCTTCAATAGCTGGTCATCAAACCTGAAAAGTCAGGTGGACTTAATTGAGTTCAAGTCGAAAACAGGACAAGTATATAAGTGGTTTGGTTTTGTCTTGGTCTGGTGTCTCCTAAGTATGTTATACTATGGTGTTGTTATCATTTAACTCCTTACTTGGACTAAGAACTACTAGGGCAGACTGACCAATTTCAGCATCTGAGAAAAGGGGTACAGTTTTACTATAAGAACTATTTATTGTTATTGGACAATGAATGTACATTGAAGTGTTCTTCTTTGTAGGAAAATCGGAAGATGTACTGGCAGTGGCTGTAAGTGTTTATGATCAGTCACTGATCCACTAACACTAAAGACCTAGGAAAAAAATGAGGAATATTTATAAATGAAAACTCTTGTTCTTTATATGTGATATATCATCATGTGTTGTCTTTGATGATATTACTGTGGGTAAAATGACGATATTAATGCTTTTACATTTTGAGCTTGGTTGATGCTTACAATGACATTCACAGAGAGTTTAGTTTGTTCAATGAAGCTAACTTTTGTCTTTTTAAGAGAGTTGGTCTTTTTACACCCCACTCATGGAAATTTAAAAAATGCATGAGTATGCAGTTGTCTTAATGCTTCGGAGATCCTTACAACGGATCCCTGTTCAGTACTCAGGAAATCAATGCAGACTGCAGTGGTATCTAAAGACATTGGTCACAATGTCAGCAAAACATTCTGCATGTCACTTGCAAATCTGTTGCTTGTGAATGTTTTGTAGGTTCCTAGTAGTGTGTTTTTGTTAAGTTCACCATGCCCTCCTATGATAAGATCACTAACACCATTATTTCATTTTAACCGGTTAATGCATATTTACTTATATTGCGCATCATACTGCAGATGATAACTACCTTTTTGGACTACACCTATTTTCCTTTGTAACAGCCACCTTGATTGCGAAATCAGTTATTGTTATATGTGCGCACTTAAAGTGCCAGTGAAACGCCAAAAAGCAGCCTTCTTGTCTGAATAATTTGAAAATGTACAACATGTAAACCAACACCATGCACTTTTTTTAGCAAATGTTAGTAGGGTATTAAACTATATATTTGTCACTAATATTTACTTATTAATTTACTTCAAAGCAAAAATAAAATGCTAACCCCTCAGTCTAGCCTACTCAATACTATCAGTGGTCTGTTTTATTATCTTCAGCTGTTCAGGTAAAGGACTAATGGTGCTAGAATTGACCCATTACAAGATCTACAACTGCAGTTACACTTGTAGCCACTATATCAGGGGTCTCAAACCTCCGGCCCTCCAGCTGTGGTGAAACTACAAATCCCATGAAGCATCTCTCTTCGGGAGTCATGTCTGTGGCTGTGAGAATCTTGGGATTTGTAGTTCCACCACAGCTAGAGGGCCGGAGGTTTGAGACCCCTGCACTATATGATGTAGGAGACTGTAATTTAAACCATTTATATATATATGATTTACAGCAATTTGACAATACTAGGGCAGGATTCATGTGTACCGTAGTTATGTATATATTACATGTATGCTGTGCATACACTATATAAAATGTGATGAAAGTAACACTAGAATGGCACAAATGGATACCCTATGTGTGCAACTGTAACTATTTCCATTATTTAGGATGTAATTTGTTTGATTTTCTGGCTAAGGATCCCCAATATCCAATATTGTTATACATCGGCTCTGTTTGGATAACACACACACACACACACACACACACAAACACACTGGATTAATAGTGGAAAATAAGTATTAGGTAAACTTAGCTGTGATGATTTTTTTTTTGCCTTCCAGAAAAATTGGAACACATAGGGTATCTTTGCTGGATACCCTATGTGTGCAACTGTAACTATTTCCATTATTTAGGATGTCATTTGTTTGATTTTCTGGCTATGGATCCGCAATATCCAATATTGTTATATACTATGGTTTATTTAAATAACAGTGCAAAAGCAGCAATGTGCAGTAACTCACAAGAATCAATAAATGAGCTTTACACAACCTGATGTCAAGCCATTAAAGCCTACTAATGATATATACAGTTTATAACTGTTTATACAGTTTAGAGCTAAATATTTATTATACACTATATATTCTGTTTATATAGAATTATTTGTCTCGAAGTGTATATTACTTAATGTCAGCCACTGCTCTATTAGGTAGAAAAGTGCAGAATTTTGAATTTATTATCCATTAAAGCCTACTAAATTTGTTAAGTTGACTTTAAAGAACATTAATGCTCTTTGCAATATGTTATTAAATAAAACAAAATGGTTTTAATATTTTGTTTACCCATGCAAAAAATTTGTTTTTAGCTTTACATACGCCATATTCATGTGTGTTACTGTCTGTGCTGCTATTATTTTTTTATGTATTACATATTTGTTGTATATATTTTTGGTAATTTTAATCAGAAAAAATGATTAGCAGGCATAAAGACCTAATGAATATATAAAACTTACAGGTCCATCTAGAATCATATAGCATTTGATTAGAAATCTAACAACGGAGCAGACACCTATGATTTGACAAATACATTTTAAATGCACATTTTAAAGAAACATATAGTTACAGTGTTTCAAATTGTGCACATTATGGAACTACAAATATCCCACACAAAGCTTTGGGAGAAATACAAAAATTATGGTTTATGGTTTGCGTGTCTTCACAGGGATAAAGTGTAGGCAAGATAAGCAATGTAGAGATGAAATGCTTTAAATAATAGTATGCAGCATGCTAACCTTTGTATCTGTTAAGGCAGTGCAAAGTACAACAAATGTGCAGTAACCATAGTAGTTAACCAAATTTGACATTTCATTAGTTTGGAGAAAGGAGAACAATAAAAATTATACCTGTGGAGTGGTTTGCACTGTTCTGAGCACCTTAGACAAGGCTACATTCACCAAAGCAGATATTTTAGGATATCAGGGATGCCACTAGCAGACTTAACCAACAAATGAGCTGGTGTATGCATTGAGAACTTTAATGTCAACGCTTTCCCCACCAGATTTCCTCGCAGATTATTTAACTATCCATCTTTTCCAAGTCTTCTAGCTTACCAGTTTAATGCATTTGTTTATCCTATACGTTGTGTAGGAGACAAAATTTATGGGAACAGTTATTCTTTCCATTGATGGAAAGGCACACAAAATAATACTATCCTGTGGGCTTACATTACATCAAATTTATGACACAAAGATGCTGCAACTTGAAAACCGATACAAAATGTGATACAGTAAATATTTTATTATCAAACTGCCATCCAATATTGTACACAGATAGAAACTTTTCAGCAATCTTAAAAACAGCCACGGTTTCGGGGTGGTATAATGGAAGTAAGGAATTTGTTTTACCTTAAGCTAATAAATACATACATATCTCAGGATTAGTTGATGCCAACAATTGCCATGGATGCCATGCAATTGCATTGTAGATGTCCCAATAAGAGCTAAACATTCTCAGCCATAAATAACGAACTTAGCAATATTATAAGTGAATAAGTAGTTTCCAATTAGAAGCTGAAATTAAATTAACTTAAATCTGCAATGGTATACACAAGGGAAAAAATAATATTAAACTGTTAACTGCACATTATTCTTTATGTATTTTACTGCATGGGTATGGGGGAAAAAACCCTCAGCAACTTAAAATATTAGCAATCGGAATTCATTCAAAAGTCTTAAACTGACGTTGAACTCAGGAGTTAAATCTTAAAAATGCATTCAAGTACCTTAACTATTAACAAAACTGTATCCTATTTGTGTATCACAACAGTGAGCTTGGAGCGATAGCTACTTTACAACACACACAGTAGCCACCCTCCAGAAGGAAGGACAGTGTCAGCACTAATTCAGAGATGGTTTGAGGATATGCAGCTGAGTGATACACAAATGAGATACATTTTTGCTAATAGTTAGGGTACTTGAATGTATTGTAAAGATTTAACTCCTGAGTTAAGTGTCACTTTAAAGTTTTCATAAAGGAGCAAACTGCACATTTAATTTTGGGCACTATTAGACTTGCATCAATAGATCATAAAAGATTAATAAATAATTATCTTAATTAATCTTTTAGGATCTATTGATCCTATCTCTGCTTTCATTTGAAATTAAGACCTAAGATTTTATATGGACATCTGGAAGTTGGGGCTGACTTCCTTTAAAAAAATCTTGGCTATTTACGGCTTCAGTTCCTTCATTTACACACCAGGAACAAGTATGCAGCATCTGAGGGGGATTTATCAAAACTGGAGCAGACAAAGTCTGGAGCAGATTTGCACTGCAACCTGATTGCTTGTCTGTCTCGTTTTCAAATCTTAACTGAACAAACTGGAGAGAGAAGCTGGTTGGTCACTATGGGCAACTGCTCCAGATTTTGTCTGCTCCAGTTTTGATAAATTCCCTTCAGAGTGTAGACAGTACTCCTGAATTGCATACTTGTTCCAAGTCAGTTACTCAAAGTATTAAAGAAAGAAAACTAGCTTCCAGTTGTAAGGGTGAGCAGTGGTATCCTATATCGCAACTCAAGTTTCCAATAATATAAAAATCTAGGCAAACCTATAACATTTTCGTCAAATAAAAAAGTAGTGTCATGATTTAAACTCTCCTGCAGGAAGTTAATGGTGAGGCAAAGACCTAAAATATTTTTGCAGCCTTAATTTAGCTCAGATATGATTCCACAAATGAAAGTGGCAGAAATAGGCATAATTTTATCGGATTTGAATTTGTAAGTTATAAATGTCATTTAAGAAAAAAACAGAGTCTATCTGCAGAGCAAATATGCCTCCTAAATTTTAGAAAGAATAGAAAGTAAAATTTAAAAAAAAAATGGCTAGGAGGCATGGATTTTTGGTAGAAGAGACTGCCCAAAAACGTCTTCCTCTTTCCTCTAGCAATTGTTTCTTTTCTGTGTACATTGTATGGTGCATGCTCTATGCAGTGTGCATACCCAGCTCATTCATAGCATCTCTATGATGCTGTGAATGGGCCTATTGCTGGGGAAGATGTAACTCCTTTGCTCATGCACAGAAGTTACATCATCAGTGGCCACCCAATCCCGAAGGATTAGTGGTTGAGATGGCGGTGGCAGGGGGCAGAGAGAAAGACCGAAGATGCATTGTTCATCGCTGAAGTAGAGCACACTTTTAAGGTAAATGTGCCATAATGTGCTTTTGATTATGGTAAAAATTCACCCAGCTCACAGTGCTTTAGTACCACTTAAAAACAACCCTTTATTGACCTCTGTAGCTTCAGGTAC